ACTTAGTGAACTTTCTATTCTTTTAAGGTGGGCATCCAAGAATGATTTGATTTCCCCATTACTCCTGAAGGATATTTTCCTTGGATATAGAATTCTCAGATGACAGCTCTTTTCTTCTAGTACTTGCATAATACAATGTCACCTCTTTCTGGCTTGCATGGTTGCTGATGAGAAATCCATTATCATTCAAAAATTTTTGCCCCATTAAAAACATGTCATTTCTCTCTTGTTGCTTTCAAGTTTTTTTCTTTGTCTTTAGCTTTCAGAAGTTTGATTATGATGTGTCTTTGAATTTCTTTGGGTTTATCCTATTTGGAATTTGAATCTGTAGATTTATGTATGAAATTTTGGAAATTTTCAGCCTTATTTTTTGGAATATGTATTTTTGTAGGGAAGATTACTGGTAGTAGAATCTCTGGGTAAAAGGATTCAAACATTTAAAATTCAGTAGATATTTTTAAATAACCCTCCCAAATTTTATTGCAGTTTTTCCTCCTGCCAATAGTGAATAAAAGTACCTGTTTACTCACCCCCTTACCAGCAGAAGTTATTATTAATCTATTAAACCTTTGCCAATGTCCTGGACAAAAACAGTGCATTGCTGTTTCTTATTTTAATAATTTTTTATTGATTTTAGAAAGAGAAGAAGAGAGAGAGAAAAAGAAAGAGAAAGAGAGAGAGGCATCAATTTGTTATTTCTTCATTCATTGGTTGATTCTTGTATGTGGGATCAAACCTGAAACCTTAGCATATTGGGACGATGCTGTAATCAACTGAGCTATCCAGCCAGGGCCCAATGTATTGCTATTTTAATCTGCATTTATTTTTAATGAAATTGAGCATATTTTTATGTTTATTGATGACTTGTATTTCTTCTGTAATTGGCTGTTCATCTTTTTTGTCAAATATTTTGATGGGTGGTTCATCTTCTTCTTGTTGATCATGAAGTTCTGTTTGTACATTTTGGAAATTATTTTTCTGTCATTTGTGTTGCCAATGTTTTTTGCCAGTTTGTAGCCAGGCTTTAATTTTTTTTTTTAAATCCTCACCTGAAGATATGTTTTTATTGATTTTTAGAGAGAGAGGAAGGGAGAGAGAGGGAAACATTGATGTGAGAGAAACATTCATCAGTTGCCTCCTGTATGCGCTCGGACCAGGGATGGAACCCGCAACCTAGTTATGTGCCTTGACCAGGAATAAAACCTACAACCTTTTGGTATATGGGACAATGCTCCAACCAACTGAGCCAAACAAAAGTTTAAAGTTCTTAGCTATTAAAATTTATTGAGTCTTTTGCTGTTTCTAGATTTTTCTGTCTTTTTAGATAGCTTTTTCCTTCTGCAGGATTATAAAAATATTCTTTTATATATTTGTCTAGTATTTCCATGGTTTCATTTTCACAATTAAATCTTGAATCCAGCTGAAATATATTTTCATGTAAATTGAGGTGGATAATAGATCTTTTCTATCAGGTTTTAATACAGGGATGTAGGGGGGAGGAGATAGGAAGGTTTATGAGAATGTTGTATACCTGGGATAAGGGAAATACTGGAAAATGGTAGAATCAAAAGGATTCTCCTCTTTTCTCAGTTTTTTCTCTGAGTGCTAGCCAAATGAAATGTTAAATCAACTGAGATGTGAAGGTTGAGAGAAAAACAAATTTAAAAAAATTTGAAAAAATCATAACATACTCATTAATGTTTTTAAAATTGAGGTATAATTGGCATACAACATTATATTAGTTATAGTTGTACAATATAATTATTCAGTATTTGTATAAATTGTGAAATGATCACCACAATAAGTCTAGTTAACGTCCATTACCATACTAGGAAAAGTGAAATTGCTTGTTTTGTGATTTTTGTGTTGCTGTTGTTTTGATAGATGGACCCTTTTCTCTCTTGACTAAAGAAGACATATAGTGACTTGTGTTAATACTATATTTCCTTTATAGTGCATTCTAGTGGGACATTTGTTCACAGTTATGACCCTTAAAGGAAGATACTCATTTAGTTAACAAATATGTATTTTCAATCATCTGTCAAGGAGGCAAGTATGCTTACATGTTTGGTCTCTGGAATCAGACTGCTTGGGTTTAAATTTCAGTCTAATAACTTACTAGCTGTGTAATCTTAGGCAAGTTACTAAACTTTGCTGTACTTCAAGTTCCTCTTATGCAAAATGGGGATACAGTAAAAACTCAATATAACAGATTAATTCGGGCAAGGGGAGTGTCTGTTAAAACCAAAAGTCTGTTATAGAATAAAGTTAAGTTTTCCAAATGTGTATGTTAAAAAATTGACAAATTAGTTTACCTGTTTTTACTTATGTAGACACGTTTGTGTAATTAAAATTAAGTATGTATGTAAAGTTTGATTTCACAGAAAAGTTTTCTATATGTATTACAGTAATTTAAAATTTATACTGAATAGGTCTAGTAAATGCCTGCATTCACCAGCCACTGTGAGTAAACAAATGCACATGTCTGGGGTGTGGCTTAGCGCACGTTAGGACATGGGTCAGCACACATTAAAACTGCTGCAGAAAGTCACACCATTGGACAATAGAACCAATTACAGTGCATGATGAGGTGTGATCATGTGCTAATTATTCACCAAGCATTGTTTACAAGCAGTGACTCTTGGGTTTAAATATGTAGACTATAGTTGTAGATATGTCCTATTCATTTATGTTGATGAAATTACTACAGTGTTTTTTCCAACATATGGCCTATTTGCTAAAACTGGTTAAAAATAACAGTGAATTAAACTGGTTAAAAATAACAGTGAATTAATAACAAAAAAATAACCTGTTAATTTAATTATAAGCAAATGTTGGTTAAAAACATTTAAAAATTAACAGGTTGTTAATTTTCACATATGACATATGGACTGGAAATTTCATCTGTTAAATCCGAAGTCTGTTAAATCGAGCTCCACAAAATCAAGGGTTTACTTCATTGTGTTGTCGTCAGTGTCAGAACAGTGTCAAACATATAGTAAGGAATTGATAAATGTGAACTATTATTAATGCTTATCACTGGAGATAGAGCGCAAGAGATGTATGGTCCTTATAGTTATAGACCTTGCATTCTTGAGTGAGGATATGGGTTAAAAAATTACAAATAGCAATAGTTACTCTAAAAGAAAGGTAAGAAACTGAAATAGAGTATAAGGGAGTGGAGGGGGAGGATTTTACCTCAAATAACATGGTCAGGGAAGATTTCTCTTGGAGAGTTGACATTTAAGCAGAGACTTGTAGTATGAGGAAATAAATAATTTAAAGAATGGAAGGAAGAATATTCCAGACAGTGTGAACAGCATGTGCAAAGATCTGGAGGAGCCCGGCCAGGTGTGGCTCAACAGTTGAGCATTGACCTAGGATACAGGAGATCACGGTCTGATTCCCTGCCAGGGCACATGCCCGGGTTGCAGGTTCGATCCCCAGCAGGAGGCGTGCAGGAGGTAGCCGGATCAATGACGACTCTTTCATCATTGATGTTTCAACTCTCTCTCTCCCTCTCCCTTTCTCTCTCTGAGATCAATAAAGATATCAATAAAAATATGTATATATATACATATATACATATATGTATATATATCCCAAGGAGAGGGATTTTGGTATATTCAAAGCTTTGAAAGAAGACCATTATGGCTGGAATGGAGGGAATGCAAAAAAGAGTGTGATGAGATAAATTTGATGAGATAGGTGGGATTTGTAGACCAGATTAAGGAGTTTGGATTTTATCTTAAATTCTGTGGGAAACTACTAAAGCAGAGTATACTTTTTCTTTTAAAAAAAGATTGATCTTGTGTTATATTTGTATTCCAGAAAGGCAAGATTGGAAAGGGGGAGAACAGCTTGGAGGCTCTTGACGTTAGTCCAAATGAGAGACTGGTTGCAGTGGAGATGGAGAGAAGTGGATGGATATAAGCTATATTTTTGAGGTAGAATGAACAGAACTTGCTGCAGGATTGGATACGGGAGGGTAAGGTGATTGAAAAGAGTTTGAATCAAGGATGATACCAGGTTTCTGGCTTGATTAACAAGCTTGACGTGGTATCAATATCTGAAATGGGGGACGTAGGAGGAAGGATCAATTTGGTAAAGGTTGTGAACATGTTGAGTTCGAAGTGTCTATTGGACATCCAAATGGAGATGTGGAATAGTTGGAGCTTTTAGATGATATTTAAAGTTTTGGATGTGGATGAGATAACCTAGGGAGATTAAAAAGAGAAGAGGGGTTGGGATTATGTGAATGCTTTACCTTTAATGTAGAAACTATGAGATAATAAACAGAGAATGGGCTAATAATAAAAGTAGGGATATAATTTAGTGGTAGAGTATCTACTGTATATGCAAGTCCTAGATTTTATTCCTGGCATCTCCACTTTGCCTCCTCAGAGGACAGGGCAGGGCTATATATTCTTCCAGTCTTTTTGTCCATTACTCATTAATTTCTAGTTTCTGGAACAAATCAGGTGCTCAATAGATATTTTTTGAATGAAAAATTAATGTATAAATGAAGTAAATGAGAATATCTTAGTACCTGCTTTGCCACAATGTAGCTTTGTGATACTGGGCCATTAGCAAGCTACAGTTTTGTTATCTGTAAAATGGCAATAATAAAAGTACCTATCTTTTGGACAGGGTTAAAACAATAAAAAAAAAATTAGTACAGAGCTAGTGTTGAATTAATGTTAGCTGCCACTATTAGCTCTCTGCATTTTGGGGACTTACCCATAAAATAGGGGCAATAATTTCAGCCTTGCTTCCCATCACAAGGCCCGTTGTGAGGTCCGCAGGAGTTAATGCTTGATTTTTACAAAGGATTATTAATATTAATATTTTAACTGGTCTGAACTTAAATTGTACAGACGTTCTCCCCCTCTTCCAGCAGCGTTATTCAATTGAAAATGCCTCTTTTTCTTTTTTAATTTATCTTTATTGTTAAAAGTATTANTGATTGAAAAGAGTTTGAATCAAGGATGATACCAGGTTTCTGGCTTGATTAACAAGCTTGACGTGGTATCAATATCTGAAATGGGGGACGTAGGAGGAAGGATCAATTTGGTAAAGGTTGTGAACATGTTGAGTTCGAAGTGTCTATTGGACATCCAAATGGAGATGTGGAATAGTTGGAGCTTTTAGATGATATTTAAAGTTTTGGATGTGGATGAGATAACCTAGGGAGATTAAAAAGAGAAGAGGGGTTGGGATTATGTGAATGCTTTACCTTTAATGTAGAAACTATGAGATAATAAACAGAGAATGGGCTAATAATAAAAGTAGGGATATAATTTAGTGGTAGAGTATCTACTGTATATGCAAGTCCTAGATTTTATTCCTGGCATCTCCACTTTGCCTCCTCAGAGGACAGGGCAGGGCTATATATTCTTCCAGTCTTTTTGTCCATTACTCATTAATTTCTAGTTTCTGGAACAAATCAGGTGCTCAATAGATATTTTTTGAATGAAAAATTAATGTATAAATGAAGTAAATGAGAATATCTTAGTACCTGCTTTGCCACAATGTAGCTTTGTGATACTGGGCCATTAGCAAGCTACAGTTTTGTTATCTGTAAAATGGCAATAATAAAAGTACCTATCTTTTGGACAGGGTTAAAACAATAAAAAAAAAATTAGTACAGAGCTAGTGTTGAATTAATGTTAGCTGCCACTATTAGCTCTCTGCATTTTGGGGACTTACCCATAAAATAGGGGCAATAATTTCAGCCTTGCTTCCCATCACAAGGCCCGTTGTGAGGTCCGCAGGAGTTAATGCTTGATTTTTACAAAGGATTATTAATATTAATATTTTAACTGGTCTGAACTTAAATTGTACAGACGTTCTCCCCCTCTTCCAGCAGCGTTATTCAATTGAAAATGCCTCTTTTTCTTTTTTAATTTATCTTTATTGTTAAAAGTATTAACAGGTGTCCCATTTTTTCCCCCCAATTGACCCCCTCCACCTCGCTCCCTCCTCCCCAGGCCTTCACCCCGTTATTGACTGTGTCCATGGGTTATACATATATGCATATAACTTCTTTGGTTAATCTCTTCCCACCCTCCACCCCCCTTCCCTCTTTCCTCTGAAATATGATCGTCTGTTACATGCATCAATGTCTCTGGATCTATTTAGTTCATCAGATTGTTTTGTTCATTAGCTTCTTCTTAAAGAAGACCCTTCAACATTTCCTGTAGTGCTGGTCTTAAAGAGATCCAGTACTCCAGCTCCTCAAACCAGCCTACTACAATCAATTGTACTGGAAACCACGCCCCAATGTAAAGTCTATTTGACTTAGTGTTCAATTCACCCCCCAAGCCTCGCTCCTCCTTGCTGGGCGAGCCCAAGTAGCAACTCTGCACTCTGATTGGCCCCTGTTGTCCAATCACCACCGCGCTTTCTCCAGGGCTGTAATTTTTAAAATTCGCTGCTGGCAGATGGGAGGGAGCACAGGCTGAGTTGAGACCATCACGGGTTGCTATACCCGGTGCTCCGTTCATTTCCTGGGCTCTCCTGGTCTAGGAGTGCGTCCATGGTCTTTCCTGTACTGCCCCCAATCTCGATGTGAGGTAGGCACCTTTGGTTTTGTACTGCCCGCTCCAATGTCCGGCTCTGTCACACGCGTACTGGCCCTTGAGTGTCACTCCAGCCCCTTGTTACATGCAGTCTTCTCTCGCCGGGGTGCGTGGCGTCCCTGTCAGGAAACCTTTAGTTTGTTCTTCTGCGAGTCAGCAGTCTGCGGAGTGAGCCTGCCTGGTACGAGGTTGGGTAGGGAATGTGTATTAGAGGGTGAGATGGCAAAGCAAATGAGACTGGGTCCCTTCTTTTAGCTGGAGCTTCCAGTACACATGCCTGAATTAAAGTGCATATACAAAATGCCTTTTCACAAGTGAAAGTGTGCAGGATCAATTTCATCTATAAGGCGGCGTATTTAAGTCAGAGAATGCTATTTGAGGGATGTCTTTTGAATGACAGGTTGATGGAAATGTGTCCTTTACCCCTTGTAATTCTTCTCAGATTGCCACTCTGCCTCTAATCGCTTCAGCTCTGGTTTACCCATTGCTCTCTACTATGTGATTAGAATCCTAGGTCAAAGGTCGAAGGGACCATGGAACTGTGCTTCTTAAACTTTAAAGTGCATGCAAATCACCTGGGGATGTTGTTAACTTGCCTGTACCTATTTGGTATGGCCTAGCTTGAGGCCTGAGATGTTAAATGGCTAAAAGCTCCCACATGATGCTAATGTTGCTGGTCCATTTACTACTGTTTGAATAGCACGGAGGCTTTGGTCCCATTGTCTCATTTTATTAGGCAGAAAAATGAAGCCTAGGGAGGGAAAAGGGACTTGCCCAGTGTCACCCAGCCAGCTGTGGGCTGTGTTAGAACTAGACCCTAGGCATACTTTCCAGCCCAGTGCTGCTTTCATTGACAGACAGCATGCTGCTTACTCTCCCCAATGTCTTGTTGTCTGTAACCTGCCTTTATATATAAAATGAAGTTGCTACTGTTTCCTGTAGACTGTCTTGATCTACAGTTTTGGAGTCTGAACAGTTGGGCTTTTAAAAGAACCAAATTACCTGTGTGGATTTCAGCACTGCTTTGGGATACCCAATGAGGTCTTCAACATGTAGGGGACATGGAGAGTCTGGAAAGTGGAAAGGATTCTAATTTTCTTTTCCAAGTAAGGCTCAGCATTTTGTAGGTGGTAGAAGTCCAGAGTGTTTTGCAATGTGTCCTTTTATGAAAGCACGTTTTTAGTGGTGTTAATCACTCCCCCCAGTGTCAGGGAAATTAGATACTTAAGTCCATGTGTGTGTCCCCCCACAAAGCAAGTGATTATTGTTCAGGATAGTGAAGGTGGTGTATGACCATCATATGAATAACTTTATTTTCTCTGAGGTTTAATTTAACCTGTGACACCGTCAGCTGAAAGTTTTTTAGCCTTTTTTGCTCCAGTCCATTTTTTTTTTTTTTTTTTTCTTTTCCCTTGAAAGGTAAAGGTTTCAGAACACGAGTCTTTGGTCATCCATAAAAAATTGTATGAGGTGTGAATAATAATAGTGGAGTAAGTGGTTTTCATACAGTGCAGTTAGGGGTGGGTGCACCCTATTTAGCTTTATTGCTGCTTGGCTGAGTTTTGAAGGATGAGATGGAAAATAGTTTTGGATTTAAAGGAAGAGGAGAGTATACCCACCATTTATTCTGAGTGCCTACCATGTGTAGGCTTTCACATAAAAATTTACATTTGAGCCACAGGATACCTCTGCAAGTAAGTGGTGGCATAGCTCTTTTGCAAAAGAGGAAACTGAGGCTCAAAGATGCTAATTTGGCTGATTTAGAAGCCCAATTGCTTCCATTTTTTAAAAGCCTGTGCTAATTCTGCCTCCTTTCTCTACTACACTAGGACCTTTCGTTTTGGACCATGGACTGTTCTGAAATGTTTTTGAGTGTGATTGGAGAGACTTTATAGTTTTTTAGAAAGAGCTGGGTGATCTATACTGCTTAATAGTTTGTCCTGTGTAGTAAATCACTTAACTCATTTGGGACTATAAAACGGAAACAGTTTTGTTGATGTAATAAATGTGAAGGCATATACTTTTACTGACTTTTCTTCATCAACAAAATGTTTAATACTTCCCCATCCAAAGCAAAATCCAAATCCTTTCTCCTTTCTTAAACTTCCCCTCAAGTTGTAGTCTTTTCTGCTTCCATTTGTTACCAGCCTACCCCCAGCCTAGCTTTCAACCCCTTTCTAATTCATCCCCAGCACATTCTTTATACTCTGCACTCAGGCATCCTGGACATCCCTGGAACCTTCTGTGCTCTGTATGTTCAAGTCTCTGCCTGGGCTCAGACTTTCTTTGCCTGGAAAGCCCCCCAGTTTACTTGGGAATGTCTTTGTAATTTAAGTCCAAATCATATATAATCTCCTCTATATTTCCATTATGTTTCTCTAGTACTTTGTATCTACCTTTGTTAAATCACTTGTCACATTTTTATGTTACTGTTAGAGCTATGCATGTGAATACTTCTAGGATAAGATCCATGATTTATTTGTGTTTGAATCTTTGTTACCTGAAGTATCTGGTACATAGTGGTAAGTTTGTTGCATTCCCTTTAGGGTCTCTCTTAGAGAAGCCTGTCGTTTGTCAAATGCAGTTGAACTTGGAGATTGAATGTGAGTGGAGTTGGAAGGGCAGTTGTATCTGAGTGGGAAGGATCTCTTGTGTATAAAAAAATGATTTCTCCTAATAATGTATTTGCTTGTAAGACACATAAGTGTATTCTAACTATTGAGGACTCACAAACTACAAGAGCCTTAAGAAATATAGAATGGGGTTCCACACTGAGATGAGGTGAAGGTAGAATTCTTCCAAGGGTTGTAATGACTGTTAAATTTTTATGTCAAGTGATTTTTCAATAAGTTAGTTTCTTCTGCTGTTATCTCATCTTTTGAAAAATTTTTTCCTACCAGGTGCCTAGAACTGGATTATAGTTTCTTCTGCTTGAATGCAGCTCTTGGATACTCTTTGGCTTATTGTACGTGTGTGTGTGTGTGTGTGTGTAGTGCATTCTTGTGTCTTCTCTGTAGCATATTATAATTGCTGTGGCCAGTATCCCATGCCTTTTAAAGAACATTAATCCTACCAGCTAGCCTCCACACTATATGACCTGTCACATTCTTAATTATTTTCAATGTAAATCATATAAATTGTCCCCAATGTTTCTAGGCCTAAACTAGGGGTTAGGTCATAATTTCAGTGCCCACAGAGGATGGCAGGCACTGTGCTGGGCTTTCACGTATAGTATCATTTAATCTGAACAGTGTCCTGCAGAGGTAGGTATACATATCTCCATTTTATAGATAACTGGAGCCCAGGGAGTTTCAGTCACTTGCCCAAGGTTAACTGTGGTAGAACCAAGATAAGATCTGAATCCAGATATGCCTAACCCAAAGTCTGTTTCCTCCTAGAGATGCTATAGAGAGACTGAGTTTTCTCAAGAGTATCCAGAGAATTCTGTGATGTTTCTGGTGAATGGTATTTTAAAGAAACCCTTTCTGATTGCAGCTCTGCCTTGGATAGACACTGCTGAATCTGTAAGAGATGCCACTGCCACTGCCACTACCACTTGGAAGCTCCAAACATGAGACTAAGAAATCTCAGTCCAGCAAAATTGTGCCCAGTGATCATGGCCAATCTGAAAAGGTTAGAGCAAGCTATCTCTCCCAATAGAGTCTGGAGTATTCTCTTCCTGTGTTGACTTAGTCCCTATCCTCACCCCGAAATCTTTCAGAATATGTATGGTTTAATTTGAGAAGGAGGGAAGGGATGGAAGCCCTTGTAGTTGGAGATCAGCAAATTAGAACTTGGGGAGAAAGTATGAGCTTTTCTTTCCCATAAATATATAGCTGAAATGAAGGCCACCCTCCACAGTCTTCTAAAGCAAACAACATTCAGCTCTCGTTAATGATCATATCCATACTTATATTTTCTCTAAGATGCTCAAAGTACCTTTCCAGGAGGCTGCTCGGTAAATCCTGGGGAGAATATGAAGATTAGGTCAACAAATGTATTATCGTGCTTTTTACATCTATTTAATTTGAAGGATGGGTCCATTTTGACTCTGCTGTTTTGACCTTGTGGGTAGTTTGACATAGTCATTACAGTTCTGGGAATTTCTGTGTTCATTTATCATCATACATATTTTAATCAGAATTTTACTAACACTAATGAATTGTCATTAAGAGAGTATTTTTTAGAGCAAATATCATTAGGCCAATTTAATTTCCTTGATTACTTTCCTCTCAGTAGAGATAAACATTTTCTAATCATTTTCATTTTAATAATATGATTTTCATGGAGGGGCCAAATGTATGTGGTTTTTCTTTTCTGTATAAATTGGCAAGAAATATTTGCTACATTTATCAGATATTTGTCTATATCAAGTTTTCTGATTAGAGTTCTGCCATTATACGTTTTCTTCTGTGGTAGTTATGTTTCCAAATGCAACTTTCTTGGGGCACATTTTGTAAATCTAAATTTTTATTGAGTTTAGTTTCACCTGTGAATTTTGTTTGGGGCGGATTAATTCTACCAGTAATATTAAGTAGGAATTAGATAACAGAATGATAGTTTATTTCTTAGCTAATTTGTGAGAAAACAATATATATTTTTTTACTAATTATTTCAACTAGGGTTATTTATTGCAAACTAGATTAAAAGTTAATGGTTTATGCTGGGCTGGCG